TGTATTTTTAAAAAAAATAAATAGTGATATTGATAATCATCTTTTCTGCATTGCTTTTTTCAGCAATCGGAAAAACTTTTTTATTTAGGAGAATTTTACCATATATCCTGCGAGTGAATTGAAGTAAAAAGTATATTGAAGTTTTTAGAAAAAAAAATTAGTCAGTTATGTGTTATACTTTTTGAGATATTTGAATTTGAATTAAATTTCAAAAGTGACGCGGCCGGCCGGCCGGTTGACTCGAAAATCAAGCGTAACTGCATTCCAGGGCGGGCATCAATGCAGCGAAAGGCGTGAAATTATTTTAATTTGTTTTTAGTTTTCGTGGAACAACATACATATTATTGAATAATTACGATTTTTGTGTTTATTATTACCACCAATGTCAACTCCCATGTTGTTGATGAAATGGCTTTAATTCGAGAAGTAAATTTATCTTTGATTACAACATTCAATGACAGGGTTTGAGTCAATGCGATTTTGCATGGGGGTTGGTAATGATGTTAGAATAGTACCCTATTAATTTCATGGCAATACTCGAATCCCGAGTTGGAAAAAATAAAAAATACGAAAATCTCAATATTTATGCATTTTTACTTGTTAAGGGTAGTTTTTCATATTCCGACGGGGTTTGAGTCAATGGGATTTTGCATGTAGGTTGGAAATAGTGTTAGAATAGTACCCTATTAATTTTATGGTAAGACTCGGAAGTCCCAGTGGAAAAACATACGAAAATCTGAATATTAATGCTTTTTTACTTGTTAAGGGTAGTTTTTCAATTTCAACTGGGTTTGAGTCGATGGGGGTTTGAAAAAGTGTTGAAATAGTGCTTTATCAATTTCATGGCGAGACTCAATGTCTAAGTATGATTTATTGATTTTATTTTGAATTTAAAAAAAAATGCTACGCCAATGGTCGTTCGGGTGTTTTCGTCAAATTGGCTGCCAAGTTTTGGCTGCCAACTTCACACCAGTCCATTATTGGAGAACTGGGTATACAGGGTGTCCCAAAAAGATACCGACAAACTTTGAGGGGTAGTAGGGGACATCAAAATAAGCATTTTTGTTTATATAAGCATATGTCCGCAAATGAGCCATTTGGGCTGTAGAGCAAAAAAACTGTTTGATACTTTTATTCTTCGCAATAATTAAATCACTGTTTACTTATTAATTTTGCTTTATTATCAAATAAATTATGGTTTACAATAATTGTTCAAAATGTAGACAATTTACTTCAATGCAAAGATTACACCGTCGGGTCATTGACTGAAAAGTTTAGTCTATGAAACACCTGTTCGTAATGAGGAAGATCTGATAGCAAGGATACTGGCGAGTTGTACCCATGTAGAAGCTATTCCCGGAATATTCCAAAGAGTTCGCGAGTTGAACAATTATTGTAAACTATAATTTATTTGCTACTAAAGCAAAATTAATAAGTAAACAACGATTTAATTATTGCGAAAAATAAAACTAGATATCAAACAGTTTTTTTGCTCTACAGCCCAAATGGCTCATTTGCGGACATATGTTTATATAAACAAAAATGCTTGTTTTGATGTCCCCTACTACCCCTTAAAGTTTGTCGGTATCTTTTTGGGACACCCTGTATACATATATTATTATTAAACCTAGTTTGCCTACAGGCACTAAACTTGGGTTGGGTTTCTTTGGTTTCCTTGCCACACTGATGAGATTTGATAGATCGAAACGCGTCTGTGGATGGAAAAGCGAAGAAAATTAACCCAAAATTTTCACATTATTAAATGTGATTTTGCTGTGTCTATATTATTCAGAGATTCATTCAACGACATTACAACTCAGGAGGCAAAAGGTTTTATTCATAAATCCCATTAAAGTCCGGACTATTATTGTTTTGAAAGAATTTGTATGTGCGAGAGAAAGACAGATCTCAGAACTGACAGGCAACACAGTAGTTCATCATATGGGTGTTTGGATAGCCAGTGGCGTAGAGTTTTGATTGGAACGAAACCTAACAAAAATGTAATATATCAATAAAAACAAAGTACCTACCCGGTTCCTTTTAAATGATTATGGTTTATCAGATAAATCATGCAAAATTTTTGTTCTATTAAAATTAACCTTAATTGATTTCTGACCCATACAGAAATCAATTATTATTGTAAAGCTTGATGCCCTCATTATAAATTCAAAACAGTGGTCAGGTGTGTCAACAAAATTTACGTCTCTCTCGACCTTTCTAATCCTCTTTTAAAACATATTTAGCATGATAGAATACAAATTGTAGCCCAGGCCACCATGTAATGGGTAAATGAATAATAGTGTCATAAAATGCAAATTCTTTCTAGGAAGAGTTAGAAGTGAATTTACCCACCATTGCTGGAGAGTTAGGTTTTTATTTTTAATTTGTCTTGATAGGTTATGAGATATACCTACCTACCTCTTATTATTTTGAAGTTTTTCGAATAGGTGCATTATATTAGTCAACCAAAATAAAACGGGTTTTCTTAACATTTACTATGAAAAAATGCCATACAAAATGTATGCTTCTAATCTAATATACTTGTACTCACAGAAATTCAGGAAAAAATAAAATAATTATTACATGCAAAGAGAACAACAATCGACAACAATGAAGCCTAATGATCCTACTACTTACCTAAAAGATGATACATAGAATCATCCTCAGAAATATCTGAAGAGTGGTCATATTGTAAGTTAATAATCGGGGTAATAAATAAAGGCTGGATTTTCATAGCTTTTTTTTCTCAGCCATCTCTGACAAGTTTGTCTTCATGGCCATTACGGTTGATAATTGATCGACTTTCTTTTCCAGATGGAGTTTTTTTTTTCTTTTAAATAACTCTTAATATTTTTAACATACCACTTTTTTCATTCCAAATTTGTTTTATCCTTGGTTTTATCTTCCTTAGTTCCTTGTCAGTATCACATACCAAAATTTTGTTCTTTCAATAATTTCTGTAGGTTATCTCAAGGCTTGTCTATTATTTCTGGCGTATGTTTATCATTTCTGACTGGGATAAATTTTTATTAAATAAAATGAATGGACTATTCTGCTTACATGTTTATCATATTCTTCGATATGAATTATTATTCTTTTTCCTGTTGAGATTCTTAGAGAAGGTAAATACCAATTTCTCATATATGTAATGTAACATATATGTAATAATAATGCCCTATAGTTGATTCTATATTCTTCAAGAGCACAATTTTCCGATTCCAAAAATATATAGTTTGTCTATATTTATTGAGCCGTCTCCAACATATTTGGCTCTGAAAATTCTAAAAATACTATCCTACTGTCTTAGATTTTGTGAACTATTCTACCTGTCAAGGTGAAAGTTGAGCTACTTGGTTTCTCTTATGGTTTTTTTAAAATTTTTAGAGCCAAATATGTTGAAGACGGCTCAACCCAATATTGACAAACTATATATTTTTCGAATCGGAAAATTGTGATCTTTAGGAAAATAAAAATCCATTCGGAAAAAGTTGAAAGTATGCAAAAATTCAAATTTCTGAAAATAAATGTTTGTTTCTGAAGATAGATTCTAAAAATTTAGCTAAAACTGCACAACTTTTGTATTTACACCCATCATCTACCTGTAAAGGTAAAGGCTCCAGGTAGGGTGCAAAAATAAATGAGAAAACCCTGAAGGCTAGAATGAAAATTATTGGATATTTTCCTAACTGCAGAAAATTCACACACTTTCTATAGATTTCACACAAATAATGGATAATTAGTATATTGTTTTCCAATTTAAATGACTAACAGGTACCTACTAAGTGGCATAACTCTGGGCATAACTATAATCATAAATCTAAACTAAACCTTTCTCAGAAGGGCTGTTTAGCCCCATAGGTGAATGGGCAAGAATCGATTGAGCGCCGCGGTCAAGAAAATTTTAAGGCGCAAAGTCTAATCTCAGGTAGTCTAGTTCATCTTAATCAAGAATCAATTGCCGACCTGAAAAGTACATGAAGTAAGACAAAATTATGTAAAGACATATTTAGTTTTTTCATAAATTATAGCAGACACCCTTAGTAAATTCTAATCGGCTGATACTTTTGTTCACATATACTGCATGGCAAAAAAATGCATCACCCCATAAAAGTAGAATATTTGTTAAAAAATATGCACTTTTAGTGGGTGATGCGTTTTTTCTGTCACATAAGCCGCTTTCGGAAGTATAAATCCTGGATCAAGTAGGTTAATATCAGCTGATTACGGTTTAGTTTGTTTTCAGAGTAGATTCTTAAAAGTTTCCGAATTGGGATCGACTATCGCCGGCACCCGCGTTTGTTTTTCTCAATAAACTGTTTTTCTTCAACGATTTGAGATTGGGTCTTTACCTTTGACTTTTCAAAGACACTGCAAACCACCCCAAACTTAACAAATCACAAGAATTAAACACAAAACTTGACGAAACGGAAACAAAACATACAAACGAGATCACAAACATATGAGAAAACCGAATCAACAAGATCACTTATCCAACGCGAGTACTCGACTTCGGATCATTTTACGAAGATGAGATTACTAATCCGATCGAACCGATTAATCGGATCACACTTTCCGAAAGCGGCTATAGTATATAAATTACGTAGTTAAATTAGTTACATAGTCGTTGCGTCTCTTCTAACCGGTACCTATATTGTTGCAAATTTTTGGTAAATGCTAGCAGTTCTATTACTGAACATATTGCAATAAATGAGAGAGAAATGAGAGTATTTTAAAAAAAAATCAATAAGGTCCTGGTATTGGATACCAGATATTTTGAAATATAGCATTAACTTATTTGAACAATATATGGAAAGTCGATTCTGAATTTGATTTACCACTGCCAAATTCAAATGCACTTTTGTCACTTTTGTTGCTTTCATTATCACCCAAGTTATCAGCAAGACTGTCCCTACAAAAAATAAGATTCTGCTTGAGTAGAATATAAAACTGAACTTTAGTCTTAAAAAACCCATTTTTAATTATTGTTTCTAAAATTTCAGGTGTCCGAATTCGGCATGGATTGTGGTTTGGTAAATGGCGTAGACAATGCACGTCTGTGCAACGGATCAGTAGCCTCCTTAGTTGCGAAGTTTCTCGATGAGCCTGTGTCAAAATCAAATGAAGGCAAAATTTCCTGTGATTTGGTGAAAAAAGTCAATGGTGAATGTACTCAGGATTATGACAATCCATTTTGTGATGAAAATTCCAATAGTTCTCAAAGTGATGCTTTAGTTATTGATGAAACTGTTCCTAAGAAAAAAATTAGAGGCAAATCTAAAAGGAAGTCATTAAAAATCCAAAATAATGATGTTTCGATTTCCTCAAATATACCCGTCAATGACAAATTAATTGCTGATAATAGTGGAAAGACTAGTGATAATAATGAAAATGCTATTGTTAATGGTGACATATTGCAACCAAACAGTTTTAATGAAAGCACAGAGACAGGTGATAATGTTGGTGAAGTATCGGAACAGAGAACTAGTCTAACTCCCCCCCTTCCTTGTGATGTACCTAGTTTAGATGATAGTAAAGTTAGTCCGAATTTTTTTCACTCAAACCCCTTTTTCAATGAGTCTCTATTTGAACTATCACAATTACATCAAACAAATAATGTAACAAAATATTCACAACCAAGTCCCCTATCAAGAATAAAATCAAAACCCAAAACGACATTTTTAAAAGAATCTTATGGGCAATATTTAGGCTTACAGCCAGCAGTACAATTCAAATGTCCCAAATGTGGAGAATCCGGATTTGAATCATGGATGACCCTTCAAGAACATTTTTCGCAGTGCAACGCAATTCAGACTCGCCAAAAATCTATTGAAAATGTCAATGTTTCTAGATTTAAATTGACCAGGAAAGTTTATCTGTGTTCAGGATGTGGTACATATTACGAAAATTGGAATTTATATGTGCACATGTTAGAATACCACAAAAGATATATTTGCTTGTATTGTTTGGGAATGTTTTCAGCTCTAAATGATCTATGTAAACATATCCAATCACGTCACAATTTGGAGCCTGGCATTAAAAACAGTTTGCAAGAATTTTTCGAGGCTCACACTGAACCTTGTTATATAGCTTGTTGTGAGTGCAATCAACAATTTAATGAAAGTGATAATTTCATTTATCATAATTGTACACGTAATTCTATTTTTAAATCTACTAGCAAAAAATCCACCACCAAGCATATCAAAAATATAATTGCACCTAGTCTTCACGTAACAGGAGATTCTGTAGTTGCTTCTTGTGATGCAACTCTAGTAGGAGATGATAAAGAAGCAATAAAGTCTGATCTCGATGGAAAAAAAGATTCTACAGTAAAGCAAAATCATAATGTGGCGAATAATTTGAGCAACAAGATCCCATCGGATGATGTTATTAATAATCAAAATAATAATATAGACAAAAAGAAAATTGTAGAAATCAATAGTAATGATAGCCATATTGATCTTACTCCGGAAAATAGGTGGAAGGATACGTCAGGACATCAATTTAATCATGTTGCAGAAAATCACTTCAATAATGTTAGTGGGGAGCAGGACCATAATTGTAAATCTCGTAAATCTGATCAAGATTCAGTGTTTTCTTCAAATTTTTCTGGCAACAATCTGGAAGGAGAAACGGGTTACAGAATGGATGATTTTGAAGAGAATGTATCTGGTGAACAAGAAGATCGGGGATCAAGAGAGAAACAAAAAGAAAGTGATTTTCGGGAAAATTTATCTGGGGAAGATACGCGACCAGAAATTGAGCCTGTTGACACTCGAAAAGTGCCAAAACTATCTTTGAAACTTCCAAAACCGGGTTCATATCCGTTGCCAGATCCTGAAGATAGTGATGATATGTATTTGGATATCGATAATGTTGAAAGCGACAACGAGCATGATAGGACTGGAAGTGATCCAGGAGAAGAACTTGGTAAGTGAACTACCTGAACCTAATTCCTACCTATGTATGTATACCTACAGAGTGTTCTAAAACTCTCTGAACCTTATATGGAATTTTCTTTTGCTTACCTAAGTTAGCTAAGTACCTACAATGATTTTGGTCATTTTCAAAACCTGTACTGTAGTAACTTATATCATAGGCATATTTGGTTAGAAAATTATTACATTAATTTGGGTCAAAAAATCCATCTTATATCATTTTACTTTCAGAAGTACCATTTTGGTCCCTTAGGAATCAAAATAGCTCACAATTTTTTGTAAGAATATTTTATCCTGTAAGTTTTTGTTTCATTCAATTCTTTTTTAACATAATAACAATAATTATAATGTATGCATTGATATATTTGCCATTTGTATGCTTTCGAATATACAGGGCCTTCCAACTAAAAAGAGAACATCAAGTAAGTATCTTTTATCGTTATTTTTTCTTAAAACCTAGGCATTCCCAGGGGTGCTTTTTTGATGGAATTTTTGTAGATGTTAAATAGTCCCGTAAGCCACAGAACTACCCCTTAAGTGATACATTATTTTGGAGTTGATAAGTTTTTGCATCTATGTTAAGAGCAGTACTAATGAAACACCAATTAATTTTATGTAAACGAAATTTAATGCAACATTAATTCACAAATAATGCATACTTTGTCATTTTGGTACTTCTATACACCTATTTGTCATAACAAATTTCTAATACAACACATTTAAGAGGACAGAATTAGTGACTTTCAGTGAATTTATGCATCAGATGGAGTCAGATCAGGTACTCCTTGAATTCTGAATAATGCGAGCAATATTGATAAACTGTGGGATAAACTATTCTGTCAAAAATTGCATGAAGCTAGGGAGCATTTGGCTGTAGGTAGGCTGGCTTGGTGCGCAATCTTGTCAATACCAAAACTCGAGTCAAAGCAATTATTGCAACAGTATTTCTCAACTACTGTTGACATTACACTTTTACTTTGGGCTGCTCTTGCCGCTATATTTCTCAGAACTATTTAAATCAATAAATCAATATTTATCAAACAAGCCAATATAGGTACATTGGATTTAACATCTCAACTGTCACGAGGAGATAGTCCAAATACAAGCCTACCAGATAAAAATGCAATCTCTAATCCTATTGGTCGGCCAGTAATCCGCCAACCAATTGAGTTAGAGATTGGGAAATGTATAATAAAGTAGTAACCAATAAGTTTATCTGAAGATGAACCGGGCCTAATAGTAGAGTAAATGGACTGGCAAAAGGCTTCTAGAACAGATTTTCGTGGGAACTTTGTTGCTAAAATGTAAAACCTATTTTTTATTATTCCTAACACCGTTGCAATGCAAAATCATCTGGTCGTCAAAAAATCGTAGTGGGAGGGGAGTGGTGGGGAGCCTTTTTGAAAAAAAATTCAATTTTTTTTTTCATCATTTTTCGAATCTAAGATTTCGGAGAATTAATTTCTGAAATTTGCATATCAATCCGGACATTAGAAAGATTTTTTTAAAATTTATATAAATACGTTGCACCATTGTTGTATATGGAGCTCAGAGTAATACTACATAAATAGAGAGGGCAAGTCATTCATAAAATCGTTTGGTTTCTGCGGCCAACAATCCTAAACGGCAATAGTGGATTAATGAATGAACTACATGGAGTGGGGATAAGATTGCGGACAATGCGGGCCAATCACAAACAAAACCCGTTTGACATTTCTTACTATGAATACTACAGCACATTCGCGATAATGGTCGGACTTGCTCCGGCAATATTTGCATCCTTCTTTATCTGGTTATTTTAACAAAGATAAAACGATTCAGGTGGGCGTTCCTAGATGAATACAACCAGGTTCCCAGATTTTAGGCAGTGTTGCCATTTTCAGCTAGCATAAAATCTTATTCAAATTTTATTGTGATAATAGATTATTATTTTATGTAATAATTATTCCCATTCAATTTTGGAAAGCACCGCGATATTTTATGTTTTAATTGTATAGACATATACCTATCTAGGTTTTTATATTTACGATAGATTTTTTTCAATTTCCAATTCCATTTTCCCTGCAACTTAGGACAATTTTTAAATATGGCACATCTGCAGTAAGTGTCCGCAAGTGATCTTAGAATGGGAGTCAATGTTTGGGGCATTTTTTAATCATAATAAACCTATCTATTTCATGTGTTAATGGAGATATGGAGCGCCTTCACACAAAATCGCTTGCCCTGAAAACCCATATTTTTGAAATCCTTTAAGAGTGCGCTTCTCGACGATGAAAATTGCGAGTGCGCCTTTGCTATTTTAATAAAAACAGTTGCATCTAGGAAATTTTAACCGATAACTTTTTTCAAGGATATGTTTATGCGCGTGTTTGACCAGTAAATTTTTTTTGATTTTTCTCTTTTTATGAATTTTTTTTTTCCAAAAAATGAGAAAAATCAAAAAAAATTACTGGTCAAGCAAGCACAAAAGCACATTCTTAAAAACAGTTTTTGTTAGAATTCCCTAGATGCAACTGTTTTTATCAAAACAACATGGTCGCAAACGCGAAATACCTATTTTTTCAGCATCGAGAAGCGCACACTTAACTCGCTCCACCTCGAAAAGTATTGGGTTTATCAAAAAAAGGCTTTCTATAAACGTTATAGACCAAACATCAGAGAATATGTTGTTTTTTTTTAAATTTTGATTGGATAATTAGTTTAGGAGAAAATTAAATAAATCGAAAGGCATGTCGCGACGGAGAGCCGCGAGCGCGGAGATGCGAGGAAGCGCGAGAGTCCCTATGCCAAGCCAAAGCCAACCGAAAGCCAACCGAAAATCGACTCTACTGATGGCGATGTTGTTACGGTCGATTTTTTTTGTGCCGGCCATTTCAAATTAAACTGAATACGCTTTGGGCACGACTATAAGAATGATGGAATAGTGTTAATTTAAGAGTTTTTTGGCTTATTATCAAAATATTAACACAAACAGTATTCTGTTGTGCTGTGTCTTTATGTAATCATAGTAATAATAAGTAGGTATTGTTTCAGAAGAATTTCACCGGCGACACCGGCATCGGTTTTTCCTTTCAGTGAATTTCGCATTAGAGAACAAAGGATAGTAATAAGACAATTAAATCTATGTAGGTATTTCGGACTGAGCATAAAGACCGCACTTTTCAACCATCATCAAGTCCAGAATCTGTCATAAACTGACCGATTATTTTGAGAAAGTTCATAACAATGTGGAATCCACCTAGACGAATAATTACATTCTTTGTGTCTTCCGGCTAGAACCACTGGAGCTCTTTAGCTCTATAATCGAATGCTTGATCAAATGTCAGAACAGTGTAGGTATCTGTTATTTAGCTTCTTAGCAATTTCGCTGCACTTTACAATTTCGCTGCACTTTACAATAACAGTCCAAACGGTATCATATTCTGACGAGACATGGGGTAGTACAGGTAAGTAGCCAAAGGTTGTTACATGTGATTCACCCTCCAAAATCAGTTTATGAAATCCTGACCACTGCGGAATAACGGTTTGATCGCTACTAGAGTCCCTCATTCTTTAAATACACCACGCCATATTACGATACCTCATGTTATTATTGAGATTTTCGCCCTTCTCTATGATGACCAGTTTATTTTCCTCAGGTTGTACTTTACTTTTCTTTTTGTTTTGTCAAAGGGAATTTTGTTAAGGGAATGAAAGTCATTAGGTATTGCAAGCTTTTGATTATACGGCAAAAATTCAAATTGCCCAGGTATTTTTTCATTAAATGGTCCTCTCTGGAAGGCAGCCTTGTGGGTTTCGTGGAAAGTAGGGGTCTTGTCCAAAATCTCTTCCAAAATGTCAATGTTGTCAGCGGCAAATTGAACGAATCTATCAGGTACCAATTTTCTGGGTATGGTCACATGTTCATTCTCCAAGTATAGTTGAATTTCTCCTTGAGCGATGCTGTTACGTACCTACTCTAAGAGTATCGACGTATGAAGTTCAATCACTCCAAGCGTGTATTGCTTCAATGATCTTGTTTCCTGATGAACCAAAAGTCCTAAGCCAGTGTGCTTTGGAGTATTAATTTTTTCCTTCGAGCAGGCGAAAATAATGTCTTGGCGTATACTTAGAGTTTCAGTCTCCTTTTCATTCTCAATTTCATTGCGGACAATAAGGTTAACAAGATAGTATAAGCTTTTAGGAATATACTTTTTCTGCGATTGACAAGAAATGTCAGCATTTTTGACCGGTTGACAGGTCGCAAAACTCAAGATTCTGGTATTTTAATTATGTTTCAATAGTTGCTAGGGAATGAATGAATAACAATACGGGAATCACTTTTCCGGGAAAGTGATTCTCGTACTACTGAATAATTGGAACAAAAAGAACCATTTAACAGATATTTAACCGATCGCAGAAAAAATAGTATGTGTATTTCGGTGGAAAAGCACATTCTCAGTCTTCGGTGTTTGCCGGCCTCGGCTACGCCTCGCCCGTCAGCTTACACCATCGGCCCAGAATGTGTCACTTTTCCACCTAAATACACAATATACTATTTTGTAGTCTCTAACATTAATTTTTTTTAAATCGGACTCAGTTGACATCGTGTTTATCTCACTTCGGATAGTTTGGCAGATTTTTACTAGAATGTGTTGCTCTGATGCACCAAAACTGAAACTGAAAGCGTCCAATTCGTCGTGGTTATGCACAATTGTTTAAATTGCTTGTTCTTTCGAAAACTCTAAAAATATTGTGGGCTCGTTTCGTCTAGGAGACCTTACTGATTCAATACCATCCCCTAAATGGTATTTCATTTTTTTCACTATTTGATTCTCTCTGATATCGTCAATGGGTCAATGCCACTAATTTCACGATATCTTTTGCCAATTGATATTGTGGTGTATCCTTTACGTTTTTCCAAACCCCTCTCCATTTCCTCAAAAACATTTCCCAATGCCTGATTGTCTGTTTTTTTAATCTTAGTATTTCCGATTTTTTGTAGAGATTTCG